TGTACTGTAAAAGAGGAAACACTGGCAATGAAGGCAGAAAACCTAGACCTGGGTGGAAATCACGGCTACATAACTTGCTAACTCTCTGACCTTGGGCAATTTCCTTCTCTCAGTCTGAGTTTTCTTATTTGCAAAGTGAGAGTAGTAATTCCAATCTTGGGAGGGAGGATTAATTGCATGTGAAATGCCCACCACAGAGCCTGACTCCAAGCAGGAGTTTAGAAAAGATATTGCTATGATTGTTATTCATACAAGTTCCTTAAAAGCAAGAACATCGTATTTGTCCTTGTAGCCCAACTGTAGGCTTTATAATTATTGAGGAGCTGAAAAAACAAGAAACACCAAAGTTACAAATGAGGATTTGTATCCGTTCAACACACGCCTAGACAGAAAATGAAACTAAGAAGTAATTATGACTTTCAAAAACTGTATCAACGCATACATAGAGTATAAATCAAAGTATATATTGCCATTTGATGGGGAAAAATATCAAAATATGCAATGTGCTTATTTTTAAGCCACTCTGAAAGAAGATGATGCTGCCTGTAAACAAATCAGGAGTACAACTACTCTTCATTCATTCTGCAAGTATTTCCGTAAGTGCCAGTCATTATGTTGGTCATTATGCTAGGCAATGTGCATATGATGGGGAGCAAAAGCGAAAATAGTCCCAACCCTCATAGAGCTTGCTTGCAGTCATGTAATCACACAAATAAGTGTTAACTTGTGATAAGTGATGTGAAGGATGGGTAAATGGTGCTCTGAGAACCTATTAGGTTAGAATCTAATCTAACTGAAATCAAGGAAGGCGTTCCAAGGAGGTGAAACCTGAGAGCTGAAGGATGAAGAGGAGGTTAACAAAGGGAGGTGTTTCCAGATGGAGTAAAGTAGCTACTGCAAAGACCCTGTAAGCAGAAGGAAACATGGCAAGAACGCAGGACTATAAGGGCAGTGTGCATGGAGCAGAGACAAGTATGAGAATTAGCTAGGGTCTAGGCTGCACAAGGGCCTATATCGCCTACATTCAAAAGTTGTACTTTGATATCAAGAGCAATGACAAGGCCTGTAATCCTAAGGCTTTGGGAGGCTGAGGCAGGAGGACGGCTTGAACCCAAGAGGTCGAGGTCATAATTACACCACTGGACTCCAGCCTGGGTGACAAAGTGAGATCCTGTCTCCACAAAAAAAAAAAAAAAAAAAAAAAGAGCAACCAGAAGCCACTAAAGAATTTTATGAATGCTTCTTTGTGGGGCAGGCAGGCTGAGGGGAAGATGAAATCAGATTTTCAATAGGACTCTGGCTTCTGGCTTCTGGAATACGGATGGATCAGGTGGGAAACAAAAGTCCTGTCAGGATACGATAGTAGCTCGGAATAGGGTGATGGCAGTGATGGTGGAAGAAAGCCAATGAATTCAAGATATATTCAGGAAAATCTAACACTGTATTGTACACAAGGGCAGAGAGATAGCAGTGTCCAAGACACTGGGTTTCTGATTCATATGACTGTACAGAAGGAGAAGGAGATACCACTCAGGAGGTATTCTGCTTCCGAAATGTCTTTAAGGAGCCGGGCGCAGTGGCTCACTCCTGTAATCCCAGCACTTTGGGAGGCTGAGGTGGGTGAATTGCCTGAGGTCAGGAGATCGAGACCAGCCTGGCCAACGTAGTGAAACTCCATCATTACTAAAAATACAAAAAATTAGCTGGGTGCGGTGGCGGGCACCTGTAATCCCAGCTACTAGGGAGGCTGACGCAGGAGAATTGCTTGAACCCAGGAGGCAGAGGTTGCAGGGAGCCAAGATGGTACCATTGCATTCCAACCTGGCAACAAGAGCAAAACTCTGTCTCAAAAAAAAAAAAAAAAGAAAGAAAGAAAAGAAATATCTTTAAGGCTGTTCACACAGGCCAAAAAGGGCCTAAGTGCACTACACTTTTGCATGAAAATGTGTAAACCCAGTTTGATCCCCTACTTTAAATAAGGGTCTAAAAGATTTTTTGCTATTTACAAAAATCAAACTGACTCTAAAAAATACAAGGATTTTCCCACACTGAAGAAATTTCAAAGATTCTGCCACAAGCTTCTAAATCAACTTCCAGTGAATGTTAAATTGGTTTGAGCAATAGAGCAGCATTATGGAGTGAATGTGTCATTTCCCATGAGGACCACTTTGATAAGGCTAACACTTATTTACTGTCATTTAATTTAAATATTTTAAATAAATCTTAATAGTTAAGAGTACTCTTGGCCAGACGCAGTGGCTCACACCTGTAATCCCAGCACTTTGGGAGGCCGAGGCGGGCGGATCACAAGGTCAGGAGATGGAGACCATCCTGGTTAACACCGTGAAACCCCGTCTCTACTAAAAAATACAAAAGATAAGCCGGGCATGGTGGCGAGCGCCTGCAGTCCCAGCTACTCGGGAGGCTGAGGCAGGAGAATGGCATGAACCCAGGAGGTGGAGGTTGCAGTGAGTCGAGATCGCGCCACTGCACTCCAACCTGGGCAACAGAGCAAGACTCTGTCCAAAAAAAAAAAAAAAAAGTACCCTTGGCCGGGCACGATGACTCAGGCCTGTAATCCCAGCACTTTGGGAGGCAGAGGCGGGCAGATCACGAGGTCAAGAGATCAAGACCATCCTCCAACATGGTGAAACCCCGTCACTAGTAAAAATACAAACATTAGCTGGGCGTGGTGGGTACCTGTAATCCCAGATACTCCCGAGGCTGAGGCAGAAGAATCGTTTGAACCCGGGAGGTGGAGGTTGTAGTGAGCCGAGATCACGCCATTGCACTCCAGTCTGGGCAACAAAACCCAAACTCCGGCTGGGCGCGGTGGCTCACGACTATAATCCCAGCACTTTTGGAGGACAAGGTGGGCAGATCACGAGGTCAGGAGTTCGAGACCAGCCTGGCCAACATGGTGAAACCCCATGTCTACTAAAAATACAAAAATTAGCTGGGCATGGTGGCAGGCGCCTATAATCCCAGCTGCTCAGGAGGCTGAGGCAGGAGAATCATTTGAACCCTGGAGGCGGAGGTTGCAGTGAGCCAAGATCAGGCCACTGCACTCCAGCCTGGATGACAGGGCGAGACTCCGTCTCAAAAAAAAAAAAAAAAAAAAAACCGAAACTCCAACTCTAGAAAAAAGAGAGCACTCTTATGTGACATTAAACTAGAATATGATAACATCAGGCATTACCATAATTAGAACTATACTGCTTTTTTGTTTTAATATTTTGAAATGCTTGTAAAAAATAATATTTTGTAGGAAAAAAGAGATAAGATTTTAAAAACACACAGACACATAATCTCTTGCCTTTAATAAATATTTTGCCATTTCCTTCCTAGTCCTTGTTAATGCCCATCACATTCAATTCAGGGTAAAAAATAAGGTTTTTACTAGTTAAACACATTTGTATATGTGTATGCACTATATACAAAGTAAAGCCAATACTATGTCAATACTATCAATACTTTAATATTTACTTTTCCTGGTTTTAGTTTTCAAATTTGCAACGGATGCTATTTGCATAGAATACTGATGCCTTTAAGTCTTAAAAACAGAAATCTGACTGACCCAAGAAAAAGGATGAAAGAAAGAGATTTGTCCCTTTAAAATCAGCCAACACGTCCTATGTTAGTACTGAAGTACTTTCCAATTCTGGCAGGATGGGCTCCATGGCCACCTGCTTGCACTAGGGCCTGACTAGCATTTTATTAACATCCAACTGCAATTACCAGGACATTCATTACCACTGCTTGTACAAAGCAGAATTCTCTTTAAATTTTTTTCCCATACTGATTTCATCACCAGGTGTCAAAAGGCAAAACCGTGGCCTGAGGCCAAATAGAAAAATGTCATCTCTACAAATGAGGAGAAAAGACAAGGACTTTAAAAAATCAGGTCAACAAGCCCATTAGCCAATAATAGTTTGTAAAACTAGACTGTCTTCACACTAGAGGCTGTGCTAGCAAATGTGGTCCTTGGAAACAAGGGCTGTAGAGCTTGAAATGGGTTGCCAGCATGGTTTGCCTTTTTCGTTTTTCATGTTTATTTTTATTTTTTTATTTATAACATGGAATCAGACTATGACTATAATGGAGCATAGCTATGGCGGGGTATAGGCACTGCCAAGGAAGAGACAGCGAAAAGCCCGTAGGGTTCCCAATCTAACTAGCAGACCTTCCCATCTTCCTCAGGAGTGGTCCCTGTCTCTGCAGCTGGAACGTGCGGGAGGGAAAGTTACAAGGGCCCCAAAATGAGACAGCAAAACACTTCCTTCTGAGAACTAAAGGTCATAGGCTTTTAAGGAACAATAGAGCTCAATGTAAGCTTCAGAAAGATGATGACAGTCAGAGGAGACGGGGGTAGGGAAGCAGGGGTGAGGAGATGCTCCCCGTCTGGGATAGCTGAATAGGAGGGTCAAGGCCAGGAACTTTAGAAGCACGAGAAGGGCTGGATCTTCCAGAACCTGCCCCAGTGGGCCTGAGAAACCTAAGAGGCTCCTCTGAAAATCTAGGGCATCTATGCATCCAATACTCTCAGCCCTCTCCTCGGGAAGGGAGATAATCCCCACAGGAAGCACCCCCCAAACTGGGGCTTTTCCTACCCTTCAAAAGCCACAAACCCTCACGGAAAACATTTACAAGGGAGTGGAAAGGCCGGGGGCAAGCAGCGGTTCTGCAAACCTCAGGAAGGAGGCCCCGGGATCCAAAGAACTTTGCCCCTGGAATGAGGGGTGGGGTGGGGAGGGCACCGTCTGAGGCCCGTAAGCCTCGGGGAAAGAAGCTGCAGGAACTGGAGCAGGGTCCCGTGGGTGCACTGACGAGGGGGTGGCGGCCTGGGGCGCGGTCGCCGGTGAGGGAGGCCCGCGGGCCGGGCACGGGAGCGGGGGCGCTGCGGGCCCGTGGCTGCAAAGAACCGGGGCTTGGGAGGCAGAGGCCGGCGTAGGCCTCGGGGGCCCGGACACACCCACCGTGGCGGCCTCGGGCCCGCTTACCTGCTCCTCCTCCGGGGTCAGCTCCGGCGCCATGTCGGGCCGGGGCGCGGTCGCGGGCTCCATCCCCCAGCCACCGCCGCCGGGCGGACAGAACTCGCTCGCGAGCGCGGGAGCCCGGCACGCTCGGCCTCCGCTTCCGCGTCCCCGCGCCTCAGCAGCCCCGGGCAGGCTCGAGCATGGTGGGGCCGGCCAGGGCCCGGCGCCCGCAGCAGCCGCAAACGCCGCTTCTGCTTCTTTAAGAAAAATTTCTCCGAACTGCCCCTCTCTTCCGGGAGGAAATCCTTTTTTATATTATTCGCTCCTTTCCTCACACTCCCCCTTATCTCCTGGGGAAGAAAAAGTGCAGGCGAAGAGCTAACAGCCGCTCGGGATTTAAAAGGAAATCGGAAATCAGGAACTTTTAGAGCCGGGAGCGAAGGGTCGGCGGAAATTTCACGAAGGCCGCCGGCCCCCTCGGCGCCCCGCTTCCTCGGCCGCACTCCCGCTTCTCCACAGCGCCACAGCACTCGGGGCCGCCCAGCCGGGCCGTCCTCGCGGACGCTGGCCCTGCGACCTGCGCGGCTGCCTCAGGCAGGCTCTTTGCGGGCGGCCGCAGCGAGAGGGAGGGAGCGGAGAGGGAGCGAGGGAAACGCGCCCCCCTCCTGGCTCACGGCCAACGCTGCGGCCGCCCCGCGGCCGCCCGAGCCCCCCGCGACTCCATTGAGAAACTGAGCGTCTCATTCACAAGCTGGTGGCGAGGAGGGCCCAGCGGAGCGAGGACGCCGTCCGGGAGGGGGAGACAGAGAGGAGCCCGGGCGGGGGAGGGGACCCGGGCGGGGAGGGGACCCTAGCAGGACGGAAGGCGACTCGACTGCGGGAGGGAGGAAAAGGAAGAAAAGAGTGTATTTCGTGAGGCTCAGATCTTCGGAGGAGGAGGAGAATACATTCGTTTGCAAATTATCTGCTGACTGGCACCTCTCCTGGGGTTAACTTGCCGCTGCCACCTACGCGTGAGAAACCCACAATCCTCATCTATTTGTCGCTTGCAGCCTGAAAGACCCTGGAAAGGTTGCCTGCCAGGCCAGGAAGCTTAGGTGGAAGGAATCGCACCTGCCTCCCTCTCTCTCCCTCCTTACTGGCTGTATCCTGTAATTCTTCTCCAGTGTAGTTAATGTTAATCCCCCACAGAAACATCAGACTCCGAACCTCATTCAGGAATGACGCGGCCTTTGCAGACCTTTGATTTTCACTAGGGCAAGTGCAGCAAAGGATTCAGGATTAGGTGTACACTCTTGGAATCATTTGGGGAGGAATGGGGCATAGAGAAGGCAAGGCTGGGTCTAGTATGTTGTTGCATTATTCCAAGCCAAAGTTAAATATTCCAAAGGGACTCAGAGAAGTCCACAACTAGTTCCAAGGCTGAAGCCCTGGAGCTAGTCCTGTGAGAGACCCAAAGGAGGGGCCTTCACACAACAGGAAGGTGCTGTGAGTTGTGATGCTCCCACGATTTTTTTTTTCTTTTTTTTTTTTTGAGACTGAGTCTCACTGTGTCTCCCAGGCTAGAGTGCAGTGACGCCATCCCGGCTCACTACAACCTCCGCCTCCCAGGTTCAAGCGATTCTCCTGCCTCAGCCTCCTGGGCTGCTGGGATTACAGGTGCGCGCCACCACGCCCGTCTAGTTTTTGTATTTTTAGTAGAGACAGGGTTTCACCATGTTGGTCAGGCTGGTCTCGAACTCCTGACCTCGTGATCCGCCCGCCTCGGTCTCCCAAAGTGCCAGCATTACAGGCAGGCGTGAGCCACCGCGCGCCCGGCTATTTTTTTTTTCCCCTTCTCGCTCTGCCGCCCAGGCTGGAGTGCAGTGGCCGGATCTCAGCTCACTGCAAGCTCCGCCTCCCGGGTTCACGCCATTCTCCTGCCTTGTGATCTGCCCGCCTCGGCCTCCCAAGGTTTCTTTTTTTGTTTTGTTTTTAACAGAGTCTCACTTTGTTGCCCAGGCTGGAGTGCAGTGGCGTGATCACAGCTCACTGCAGCCTCAAAGTCCTGGGCTCAAGCAATCCTCCTGCCTCAGCCTCCTGAGTAGGTAGGACTACAGGTGCACACCACTGCACCTGGCTAATTTTTTTTTTTTTAATTTTTTGTAGAGATGGGGGTCTTGCTATGTTGCCCAGGCTGGTCTCAAACTCCTGGTGAACCGCCTTTGCAAAATTGTAACTGAGGATTTTATGACAGTGAAAGAAATCAGACCTGACTCTATCTTGCTTCTAACCCTTAAGCTGTCCTTGTTCATTCCTGGGCATAGGCCGAACTAACTTGGGGAAGGAACTCAGTTCATGGTTTGACTCTGAAACAAAATTGATAACAGCCCTTCCCGAAAAGACCTCCTTCTTCCCTGGGGTCCAGTCTGCCTTTGCAAGATGAACAAATTAAGCTACAAAGATTAGAAATTACAATTTAGGGGTCATGCAGCCTTGGGCTCCAAGAGTCTAAACCTCCCCAGATTGCTCCTGGGGATAACATCACTATTGTAAAACCTAAGATCAGTGCTTGAGATATTTTGCAGACCCTGCACCAGATGGATCAGCTGATACCACACAGACCAGTAATCTGGCCCAAAGAGGTCTGCCATCTCAACCAGGAACAGAAGACAGCAAGAAAAACTCATTTCAACTCCCTATGATTCCATCCCAAACCTGACCAATCAGCACTCCCCACTTCCAAATTATCTTTAAAAACTCTGATCCCTTAATGCTCCAGGGAGACTGATTTTAGTAATAAAAAAACTACAGGCCAGGCACGGTGACTCACGCCTGTAATCCCAGCACTTTGGGAGGCTGAGGCAGGCGGATCATGAGGTCAAGAGATCGAGACCATCCTGGCCAACATGGTGAAACCCCGTCTCTAGTGAAAATACAAAAATTAGCTGGGCGTGGTGGCACACACCTGTAGTCCCAGCTACTTGGGAGTCTGAGGCAGGAGAAGCGCTGGAACCCAGGAGGTGGAGATTGCAGTGAGCCAAGATCACACCACTGCAGTCCAGCCTGGCGAAACAGCGAGACGCCATCTCAAAAATAATAATAAAACTCCACTCTCCTGCACAGCTGGCTCTGCGTGAATTACTCTTTTGCCATTGCAATTCCCGTCTTGATGTATTTGCTGTGTAGGCAGCAGGCAAGGTGATCCTATTGGGCAGTTACACTGGGCTCAGGTGATCTTCCTGTCTCAGCCTCCCAAAGTGCTGGGATTACAGGTTCGAGCCACTGTGCCCAGCCTTCTAGGGTTTTTGCTTTTGTTTTTGTTTGAGATGGAGTTTCACTCTTGTTGCCCAGGCTGGAGTGCAGTGGCACGATCTCGGCTCACTGCAACCTCCACCTCCCAGACTCAAGCGATTTTCCTGCCTCAGCCTCCCTAGTAGCTGGGATTACAGGCACCTGCCACCACGCCCAGCTAATTTTTTGTATTTTTAGTAGAGATGGGGTTTCACTATGTTGGCCAGGCTGGTCTCGAACTCCTGACCTCAGGCAATCCACCCACCTCAGCCTCCCAAAGTGCTGGGATTACAGGCATGAGCCACCACGCCCGGCTCCTCCTAGGATTTTAAAAGCAATCCCTGACCTCAACTAATTTCTGCATTAATGCAATAGGAACTTCAGGCTGCCCTTGGCGAGAATCAGAGAAGATATCCTTGGTGTTTGAATCTTTATCTCAGCTAGGATATTTTCTACTTTGCATCAATACGGCTGACTGGAGGTTGACTTCATCACTACTTTAGTTTCAGTATTGCAACCAGTCTGGAACTCTTTTTTTTTTTTTTTTTTTTTGAGCAGGAGTCTTGCTCTGTCTCCCAGGCTGGAGTACAGTGGCGCAATCTCGGCTCACTGTGACCTCTGCCTCCTGGGTTCAAGCAATTCTCCTGCCTCAGCCTCCCGAGTAGCTGAGATTACAGGCGCTTGCCACCACACCCTGCTAATTTTTGTATTTTTAGTAGAGACAGGGTTTCACCATGTTAGCCAGGATGGTCTTGAACTTCTGACCTCAGGCAATCCGCCCTCAGCTTCCCAAAGTGCTGGGATTACAGGCGTGAACCACTGCATCCAGCCTATTTTCTTTTTATTGAAGTGTAATATACAGAAAAAGTGCAAATATAAGTGTACCACTTGATGAATTTATTTTATTTTTTGAGACAGGGTCTCACTCTATTGCCCAGGATAGAGTGCAACAGCACAATCCTGGCTCACTACAACCTCCACTTCCTGGCTTAAGTGATCCTCCAGCCTCAGCCTCCCAAATAGCTGGGACTACAGGTGCACACCACCAGGCCCGGCTCATTTTTGTATTTTTTGTATAGACAGGGTTTCACCACGTTGCCCAGGCTGGTCTCAAACTCCTGAGCTCAAAGCAATCCACTCACCTCAGCCTCCCAAAGTGCTAGGATAACAGGCGCGAGCCACTGCGCCCAGCCAGATGAATTTTCATAAACTCATGTGTCTGTGCCCAATGCACAGATCAAGAAATAGAATATTCTCAACTTGCCAAAGCCTTGCCTTTTGCCCACCCCCCACTCCCCACCCCCTAGTCAGTTACCACTCTGCTGAAGGGTAACCACTATCTTGCCCCCACTTTTTTTTTTTTTTTTTAAAGAGACAGGGTCTCTTGCTCTGTCACCCAGGCTGGAGTGCAATGGCGCGATCTGGGCTCACTGCAACCTCTGACTCCGGGTTCAAGCAAATCTCCTGCCTCAGCCTTCAGAGTAGCTGGGATTATAGGTATGCACTACCATGCCCATCTAATTTTTGTATTTTTTTTAGTAGAGATGGGGTTTCACCATGTTGGCCAGGCTGGTCTCGAATTCCTGCCCTCAAGTGATCCACCCACCTCGGTCTCCCAAAGCTCTAGGATTACAGTTGTGAGCTATCACGCCCAGCCCCAGGCTGATCTTGAACTCCTGGGCTCAAGTGATCTGCCTGCCTCCCACTTCCAAAGTGTTGGGCGTGAACCACCGTGCCAGGCCAAATATGCTTTTTCTCCCTAGGCAAGCAAATGGCTCTAGAACTAAACTGGAGTAAGAAACAGCAGGAGCTGAGTAGTACAAGTCATTGATTGGAGACAGGAGAGGATGGAGTCTCTCAACTCACTATTTACACTTCACATTTGTTTTGCCCACTGATCCTCAGGACACCAGGGGTCAGTGATTTATCCAAAGTCACACAACTAACTAATTAGTATTGAGCTAGAACTTGAACCCAGGCATTCTAACTCCTGATCTAGGGACTGGGTGAGGAGGATAATTAATAAAGATATTTAACTGAGTGGGCTGAGAGAGAACTCAGCAGTGTTTTCAGAGGCACAGCTGTGTGTGTGGGCGTGTGGGTGTGTAAGGGAAGAGAATCACTGTTTTAACAGGACAATGTTTGGAAATTTCTGAGCACAAACGTGAATAACAAAACAAAGTACAAGGCAGCTGGCTGGCCGGCCACTTTGTTCTGAGAGGTAAATCCAGGAGACCCAGAGTAGAGAGGCAGCTACCTGGCTTGCCTCTAACTGCAGGCTTGAACCAATGAACTCCAATATGGTACTGTCATCCTGACCAATCAAATCTTAAAGGCTGGGCTGGGCACTGGGGCTCACACTTGTAATCCCAGCACTTGGGAGGCCCAGATGGGTGGATCACTTGAGGTCAGGAGTTGGAGACCACCATGAACAATCAACATGGTGAAACCCCATGTCTGCTAAAAATACAAAAAATTAGCCGGACGGGATGTTGCATGCCTGTAATCCCAGCTACTCGGGAGGCTGAGGCAGGAGAATTGCTTGAACCTGGGAGGCGGAGGTTGCAATGAGCCAAAATCACGCCATGGCACTCCAGCCTGCGCAACAAGAGTGAAACTCTGTCAAAAAAAAAAAAAAAAAAAAAATCTTAGAAGACTGCAGAATGGCTTGTAATATCAAAAGACTGAAAACATTATGAGGCTGGGCGCAGTGGCTCACACCTGTAATCCTAGCACTTTGGGAGGCTGAGGCAGGCGGATCACGCAGTAGAACAAGACCATCCTTGCCAACATGGTGAAACCCTGTCTCTACTAAAAATACAAAAATTAGCTGGGCGTGGTGGTGCTCGCCTGTAGTCCCAGCTACTCAGGAGACTGAGGCAGGAGAATCGCCTGAACCCGGGAGGCAGAGGTTACAGTGAGCCGAGATCGCCTTACTGCACGCCAGCCTGGCAGCAGAGCGAAACTCCGTCCCAAACAAACAAACATTATGGCCCATCAATAGAAAACTTAGTAAATAAATTACAGTACACACATACACTGAAATAACAGGCTGACATTGTGTCCTTACATTTATCCCACAAACTGTTCTAAATGACTTTCATTCATTTACTCTCACCATATTAGTATA